AGGATACCCTGGTCTCCGGCTGAGAAATTGGTCTCCTGGTGTGTTAAGGAGGTAAAGGGAAATGGGCTTGGTAAGTAGCCCCATCTCTGCCTCAGGTAGGAGGAGGAATGGGGGTTTGGGATAAGCAGTCCCATCCAATAGGGAGACGAGCTCCAGAAAGAAGGAGTTACATCAGCTGCTGTGAATGGATTCCGACCTTTGGGAGCCTAGTTGTTTAAAATAAACTAACTCTGATAATAAAGATAAATGCCCTGGCCATTTCTCAAAACCTTTTGGTTATTTTCAGTAAATGATGATGGATGCCTGGAAAACACCCCTGATACAGCCGAGTTCAGTCGAGAATTCCAGTTGCACCAGCACCTTTTTGACCCAGAGCATGACTACCCAGGCTTGGGCAAGTGGGTAAGTCCAATTCTAATTACCAGTCGATCCTACACTCTAGCATGTGGAAGGTACTGAAGGCAGTGATGCCCAGTATGGGTGGGGAAAGAGAAAAAAATTAGGAGCTGAATTTTTAGAAATCTCTGGCTGAGAAGGACTTTATGTATATGAAGAGCAGGCTGCACCATCTTCGTCAGCTACAGTCTCCAGAGGCTTCTACACCCATCTAGTCTACAGCCTGTATTGTAACATGGTCTCAAGCCTCCCCAGTGTCTCTTGAAACTCGTATGTAGGATTCTATCTAAAAATATGGCTCTTTTTAAAAGTAAAAGTTACCGAGAGCATTTGAAAATTTGATCTATAGACCCAGGGGAGGAGATCTCGGCAGAATCAAAGAAAGAAATGCCAGGACTTTAGAAACAGACCTCATTCTACTTTCCCAAAAGAGGAAGACGTTTTCCAAATATGTACTAACGAACTTGCTCTCTGTCCCAGGCAAGAGTCTATGGCTGTCAGTTTTGGGGGTTGTTTATAAGAACTTGGAAAGAGAAACATGACCACTTAGAATAGGCTTGCTAAAAAAACAAGCCATGCTGGTCCACTTGTGTTCTTTCATTTGCCAAAGTTGTTCCCTTACTTGGCAGCTTGAAAAGGGAATGGGTGTGAGCCTGTGCACTTGTACTGAGCATGTGCACTTGTACTGAGCACGTGCACTTGTACTGAGCATGTGCACTTGTTCTGCAGCTAAACATTGGACAAGATCTTTCGTGATTGCCTTCTAATTGGAAGAGGCAAAGAGATACAGCCTGGGTGATCATAAATCACCCACAGGGTTTACAGAGCCGCTGTCCACAAGGAGGGAGATTTCATGTGCCATGCTACATGTCTTATCCCAGTCCACATTTTTATCAATGTTTACATAAAAGCATGGAGCATGTACTTAGTGGATTCTCAGAGGAGGGCATCAAGTTGGAAGGCACGGCACCGGATGACAGAGTTGGGATTCAATAAGACTCTGACATGCTGGAGCAATGAACCAAGCAAGATCAAAATGGAATGGGGATGCATCTGTGTTCTTGTGGTTGGGCCTGTCTCCTGTGTCTATGCAATGAAATTCTCAAGCCATGTGAGCAAAGTGGGAAAATACTTAGGAGTGTTAGTTCACAAATAACATGAGTAGTCTCTGAAATGAGTGAATGAATGATAAACCTACCAAAGCCCACAATTCCTTCTCTGTTCGTGATTGGTAGATGGCACTGCTTCTTATGTTAGTGGGAATGTTGAAGTCTCAGGCTACCTGCTTTCCATTTATGCTGTGTTAAAGCAAGACGCCCTTCCTCATTAATGACCATGTTCATTTTCTGAGCATCTTCCATCAGCC